GTCTTGGGATGGCCGTTGAGTGGCCGATCGCCAACTTACTCAACAAGTCTATGTGCGACAGGGAGCTTCTGCAGATCGAGCTGGAGGCCGTTATCCATCAGGGCGCCGAGAATGACCGCAAGGGCGAGAGCGACCTGAAGGTCTGGGCTACGACCAACAACGAGAGGAAGAGCGGCATTCCCAATCATCACCACTATTACAGCATGCCCGACAGCATGGCGGCCAGTGGCCGTTCGCGCGCGCCGCGCAGGGGTTTGTCTGGGCTGGGCACCTTTCTTGAGAAGGTGCGGATGGGCGCCCGCCTGCAACCTTGCCAGGCGGACTCAGCTAGCTAGGTCATTTTATTATTCATTGCGTGCGCTGCCTGTTGTTTTGTTTTCATATTCGTGCGAATTTCGTTTTTGTTTTGAATCTTTTGTAGCGGTAGTTCTGTACGTTGTTTACCATGTGCAGTGTGGCGGCAGCAAGCGGAAGCGCAAGTTCAGAGCAGCATGTGAGGGACTTGGCTGCTCTTCCCATTCGATCTGGACTGTGCCAGGTCCCTTTGGCTATTGCGCGTGCGGGTTGAGAACATTTCCGAATGAGGTTCTTATTCTCATCCTATTGCTCATCGCCAGAGACTTCGGGAGCCGTAATCAGTTCAAAGGAAGAGGATTCGGAGGGGGGGAAGTGGAGGCTGAGGAGGGGGAACCCGATGTGGTTGATGAGGAGGGGGAGGTTCAAACTTAGCACGCACCTGCGGCTTTGCAGGAAATCTTTTCTCCGAATTCTTTGTTCGCCCCCCCCCCCCGCAAGCATTTGTCTTCATCATGGATAATGCCACGCGTGAAGACAACCGTCTGAGATCGTTCAATAGCAGCAGAACAGGTTTCCTGGGACGGCATCGCCGCACATCAACGTGAGTTTTGCGTCCTGACAGCCATAAGTCGTGCCGTAATACCGTTTTTGGGATACGAGCACCGTGAGCGAACGTGACCTTTCCCGTCTGGGCAATCCCAAAGTGTGCCAGGACGCCATTTGGGGTCTTCAATCATAGGTGTAGTTGAGGGGGGCTGTTGCAGACTTCTAGGAAACAATTGTGCGCGGCGTTAAGGCGGGAACCGCATGCAGGAAAATAGCTGCCTGTTCAGGCCGGAAACCAAGTACACGCTTGTAAAACAAAAGTGTGCGCGTCAAAAACGGCATTTTGAAAAGGAGCCGCCTTCCATCCGTGAAATTGTCGCATCGTTTTCCGACGAATCTGCGCCACGGTGAGGCGGGAACCACATATTGGCAACTGTCCGCCCGTCATATGTGAAAGTTTGTACGGATGTGCTGCGCGAGCATGCGTGGCCCAAATGCGTGGGGCACAATTTGAAAAGGCCAGCCGTCCATCCTCGAAGTTTTTGCAAATTCCAAGCTTCACTCACACGTGTGGAGGAAGTATCAGGCGCAACGCCCGGCCCGCCCTATCGATACGTCTGGGCGTGCGACAGGAGAGGGTACTTGAAGGGAAAAGGGGTGGGGGAGGAAGGCGAGGCAGACGAGGAAGAGGAGGGATAGTAGGAGTAGGAGGGGTAGGAGGGGTAGGAGGAGGAGGAGGAGGAGGAGGAGGAGGAGGAGGAGGAGGAGGAGGAGGAGGAGGAGGAGGAGGAGGAGGAGGAGGAGGAGGAGGAGGAGGATGAGGAGGAGGAGGATGAGGCGGCCTCCCTTTCAGTTTCCTTTTCATAGGCTTCTACAGCGTCTTTTTAAGTGAAGGAAGCCCCGTGTTCAAGTTTTGAACTATGCCAGAGCACCGTTTTAAGGGTTTTCACGCCGCGAGTCACCCTGACTGTTGCGTCTTGACGAGCCCGCATCGAGCCATAATATCATTCCCAGGACTTCAACTCTGTGAATCGACGTGAGTTTTCGGCCCTGACATTCCGACATCGTGCCAATTTTGGGACGTTAACCATCGAATTGCTTGAACGTGCCGCAGACATGTGCAACGAGTGTGCGCGGTTGTGACACAGCCGCCCTCCCACCGTGAAGTCCTTGCAAACTTTTCAGACGACTGTGCGCGGCGCCGGGCGCGAGGCGCAGTTTGAACACGACCCGGCCTCCATGTGTGAAGCTCGTGCATTTTGTTTCAGGACGAACGTGCGCGGCGCGAGTGCGATAGCCGCATTTTGAAAATTTCTCGCCGTGCAGCCGTGAACCGCCTGTAGACTTTTCCCAGACGATTGTGCGCGGTGCTAAGGTGATCGTTGCATTTGTAAAGCGACCCCCCGCCCTCCACTCGCGAAGCTCATGCTATTGGTTGGTTGCTTCGGGATCAGATCACGCAGTCTCGGGCGAAACGCCCGGCCCGCCCTTTCCCGCAGCCTGGGGGTCCGGCGTGGAGGAGCTCTTCAGAAGGAACCCGGGATCGAGGAGGAGGAAAAGGAGGAGGAGGAGGAGGAACAGAAGGAAAAAGAGGAGGAGGAGGAGGAAGAGAAGGAGGGATGATGTCTCCCCAGAGGCCCCCTCTCGACCTCGGGGAGGCCCCCCGGCAGGCCTCCCCACCACTCCCCGGAGGTTTTTGAGGAGGCCTCCCCTGATCCTCCCTGGTCTTCCCGGAGGCCTCCGACGAGACTCTCCCTGAGGGTTCCCAGGACCTCCCCGCCCACCTCGGGGAGACCTCCCACAGAGACCTTTCCGACGAGGGAACGGGAAGGGGCCTAGGGGAGAGACCTCCCCGCGTCCTCCCGGAGGTGCCCCGAGAAGTGGGCGTCGGAGATTTCCGTTGTGCAAGGGACCTGCTCTCCCGTCCGCGTTTCTGAGACGCCTCCGATGCGTTTGGGAGGCAGAGGGGAGTCCTCCTCAGAACCCCCCCTGGAGGATCAGAGGGGGTCTCCCGTAAGAGGGCTGCCCTGGTCCTCCGCGTGGTCCTGGGAGGCTTCCCAACAGGACCAGGGAAGGCCTCTGTAGGGGATCTCGTTTGCCTTGGCCCAGTGGCAGTGCTCACGTGCGTCTCCCCTGCCCACTACGGCGCACCCCTCACGCGCCTCGTGGCCCCAATAAGGCCCCAGTGGCAGCGGCGCCGCCCCCGCCGATAACGGCGCACCACTCCTGCGTTTCGTGGGCCCATCGTGAGCTCCACCGAGGACGATACTCACGATTGCGTCATTCACAACCGCTTATGGTTGGGTCCTTCGATTCGATTTGGATTTGTAGAGCAGCTACAAAATACTCTAGTATACCATTGGATCGGAGATCTTTGAAAATACCAGTCTACAGCCACGAGAGCGCCGAGATCGGCTCCCGAGTCGAGCTAGACTCGAAAAACTAACTTCACACTTTGATTGTTCTGTGGTGGGCTGGCTTGATTTCGATCTTGAGGGAAGCAACCATTGGATCGCCGCAAACACCAGTCTACGACAAGCTTTCCAGAGCCTCATTCTGAAGGTCACCGTTGTCGGACACGTGCCACTCGCGAGCATGATCTCCCGTCGCATCGAGGTGTTGATCGTGATCGTGCTCGCGGCGTTGCTGAAGGTACCGAGGTCTGCTTCCGGGCGGGGTGTCCATGGCTCATGTTCCTCGCGACCAAGGTCGGGGTGGCCAGACCCCTGTCCGGTGGCACTCCCTTGGCGCACCCCGCGCCAGGACCTCCTTCTCCTCCTCCTCCTCCTCCTCCTCCTCCTCCTCTCTCTCTCCTCCTCCTCCTCCTCCTCCTCCTCCTCCTCCTCCCTCCTCCTCCTCCTCCTCCTCCTCCTCCTCCTCCTCTTCCTCCTCCTCCTCCTCCTCCTCTCTCCTCCTCCCTCCTCCTCCTCCTCCTCCTCCTCCTCCTCCTCCTGACCTTGTCCACTCCTGCCTGGCGACTTCGCCCTTCGATGCTCGGGCGCGGCCACAGAGCTGTCCTCGTCCGAGGCGGCCCCGCGGGGGCGCGAAGACGACCGCGCGCCGCGCACCGCGAGGCGCGATGCGCGACGTCAGCGACCTCTTCGCGACCTCTCAAAAGTCAGCTTCGCGGCCTCCTCGCGAAGCCCGCGACCCCTTCGCGACTTCGATTTCCTCTTGCGTCCTCTTAAAATGTCGGCTGCGCTCCTAGGGGGGAAGGCAGAGGGGTGTTTTTTTTTGTGTGTGTGTTGTATGTGTGTGTGTGTGTGTGTGTCACCGGAAGAGGCTCGCTCTCGACCCGCAGACCAAAAAGTGTGTGTGTGTGTGTTTCCCCCCCCCCCCCCGCTTCCCCTTCTTCTTCCGGACGCAGACGCTCCCTCTTCCGCCAGCGGCAGCAGGGCAAAAGGGAGACTCGTGGTCGTCGCGTGGCCCCTCACAGCGGCAGCACGGCAGCGGCCGCGCACACCGAGGGGTTACGCGCTCTGGCGGCGCGCAGGGGGGGGGGGTCAAGGGGGGAGGGGGGAGTGCTTCTTAGAAGGGGGTTGCTTCTTGCAAGCCGCGGGCCTCGCATCTGCAGAAAGGGCCCGCGCCTTCGAAGAGGCAGCCTCCTCCTAAGAAGCCCTCCCCCCTCCCCCATACCCTTCGGCGCGCGGCCAAGTACCTCCTGCTCGACCCCCCCCCCTCGCTCTGGCTCGGCTGCGTGTTCCTCTCGTGCTCCTGCTGCTGAGCTTCCTCTGTCAGGAGGGGAAAAAACACACAGACACAATGAATCGTCGATTCCCCTGAAAATATGGGAAACTATGGGAAGTGGAGGGGAAGACAGAGATCCAAAAAATATGAGAAAATATGGGGAATCTTTTCATTTGTGTCTACTTATTTGTGGGTCCCAGGGCCCCTTCACTCTGGTCCGCGGTGCGTTTGGCCCAGACCGTCCGGCTCGCGCACGTGCTCCACTGCTGCGGCAGGCGCGCAGGAGCCGTGCGTCCGCCAGAGGGGGGCAGGCACGTGGCCGTGCAGGCTCTCTTTCGTACCCTTGCACTGTCTTGACGGCGCAGCGTCGGCGCAGAAACGCATTCTGCGCCTGCTCGACCCCCCTCGCTCTGGCTCGGCTACGTCTTCCTCTCATGCTCCTGCTGCTGCTCTTCCTCTGGTCCGTGGCGAGTTTGGCCCAAACCGTCTGGCTCACGCACGTGCTCCACTGCTGCGGCCGGTGTCCAGGACCAGTGTGTCCGCCAGAGGGGCAGGCATGTGGCTGTGCAAGCTCTTTTTCGTACTCTTGCAGTGTCTTGACGGCGCAGCGTCGGCGCAGAAACGCATCCTGAGCGTGAATGCCACAGGTCCGTTTCCAGGTCTGGAGGCGTGGGTCAGCGTCAGTTTTGGTCCCATTGCCGACCTCCAGCGGGATCGAGGTAGCTGTTGGTTGGGCGTCTTCTCCGCGACGGCAGACCTGTCTGCCGCGCCCTGGGTGCAGCTGGACGGAGGCATCAGCGGGAATGTACCCAACACCGTCAGCTCGCCCATGAAGTTCATGAATTGTGAGGACACTGCAGACCCACAGTTCCGTTCCTCGGGCTTTGGTCGCCAAGAGGTGCGTCTCCTGAATATGAGGCAGGATCTGATCATTGCCCTCTTCACCAATGGCTCGGAACGCCCGGTACTGGAGAGCAAGACTGAGCCGCTTGCTTTCTCGGACTACCGACTGCCGATGCACGGGCACATCGCGCTCGCGGCCAGCGAAGGGCAGATGCTGGTGCAGTGGACCAGCCTCGCCGCAGAAAGCCCTGCTGTGCAGTGGAGTGCGCAGCGTTCTGGTGCACCCTATCAGAGCATGGTCGCAGCTTCCACGAATCTCAAATACGGCTCGGAGGACTTGTGCGGCGCCCCAGCAAGCCGGGAGGGTTATCTGGATCCTGGCTTTCAGCACGCTGCCGCCCTCGCGTGGCCGTCCAATGCTGAGCCTGGCACGAAGATCTTCTACCGGTTTGGGTCGGTTGCCGAGGGCAGCTGGTCAATTGAGCGCTCGTTCCAAGTCCCGCCTCGTGTAGGCCCCAACGTGTCCACTACAGTACTCGTGGTTGCAGATGTTGGAACCTGCGAGCCCGACTCTTTCCAGTCCCACTGGTCAAACCCTCTAGGCGGTCCGACTGGGTCCGAGGTGTTAGCGAACGTTACTTACGCGCGGATCCGAGAGGCTCCGCAAAGTCAAGCAGTGCTCCACATTGGGGACATCTCCTACGCGACTGGCTATGCAGCGAAATGGGAGTTCTTCATGGATCATATAGAAGAGCTCGCCACACGCACACCCTACATGATTCCTCTCGCTTCGCGGGGTGCACGCCCGGAACAACGCACAGTCCAGTCGCTGCGGGGCCCGGCGGGGGCCCTTTCGGGGCCTCTTGGAGGCCTCTTGGGAGCTTCTCGTGGGGTCCTCTCGGGGGTCTCTTTGGGGCCTCCTGGGGCCTCCTGTGGGCGTCTTGGGCCGTCTTGGGGCGCTCTTGCGCCGTTTGGCCCCTTCGGAGGCCGTCTCCTGTGAGCCCCTCGTGGCTGCCTTTTGGGGCTCGCTTGGGGGCCTCGTGGGCCCGCCCTTGGGGGCCTCTTGGACCGTCTTGGGGACCTCTTCGGGCCGTCTTGGGGCCCTCATTGCCCTTCTGGGGTCATGTTGGAGTCTGCTTGGGCCGTCATGGGTGTCCGAGAGCCGAAAACTAGGCGAGACGACTGACGTCTGCCAAGCACCTGAAGATCATTCGTGATTTTGGCTTCTGGAGGCACTCTTTGGGGGTCCTCTTGGGTCCCTCTGTGGCTGTCTTTGGGCCCTTCTCCTTCATTAGTGTTTCGCGAGAGGTTTCTAGCAGTGCTGAAAGATGTCCTCTCACCTGCAATCTCCACAGGTCACTGGTTTTTGGCGGTTCGGGCGAGCAGCGCTCACTACAGTGTTCCGGCTCGATTTGGTCCAGACATGGGACTCACGCCTGGTGTTCTGGCTCGATCTGGTCCAGAAGTGAAGCTCACTGCGGTGCTCTGGGTCGATTTTTCAGCCCTCTCAGATCCAGAAGTGACACTCATTATGGTGTTCTAGCTCGATTTGGTCCAGAAGTGAAGCTCACTGCGGTGCTCTGGGCCGATTTTCAGCCCTTGCAGATCCAGAAGTGACACTCGTTATGGTGGCCTTGCTCGATCTGGTCCAGAAACGAAGCTCACTGCGGTGCTCTGGGCCGATTTTTCAGCCCTTGCAGATCCAGAAGTGACACTCGTTGTGGTGTCCTTGCTCGATCTGTTCCAGAAACGAAGCTCACTGCGGTGTTCTGGGTCGATCTCTGCCCTTTCAGATCCAGAAGTGGCACTCGTTATGGTGTCCTTGCCCGATCTGCTCCAGAAGTGAAGCTCACTGCAGCTGTCTGCGTCGATTTTACAGCCCTGTCAGATCGAGAAGCGACACTCCTTCTGGTGTCCTGGCCCGATCTGGTCCAGAAACGAAGGCTCACTGCTGTGCACTAGGATCGAGTTTTCAGCCCTTTCAGATCCAGAAGAGACACTCCTTGTGGTGTTCTGGCTCGATCTGGCCCAGAAGTGAGCTTCAGTCTTGTGTGCTTGCTCGATTCCCTTTCGCCCGAATCTCCAGAAGGGAGGCCGCGGGGAGGTATCTCACCGGTCTGGCGGCTGCCTGGGATTGGCTCGTTGTGATGTTGTGGCTCGATTTCAGCCCTCGTTGTCCTCCTCCTCCTCCTCGTCCTCCGCCTCCTCCTCGTCCTCGTCCTCGCCGTCCTCCTCCTCCTCCTCGTCCTCCTCCTCCTCGTCCACCTCCTCCTCCTCCTCCTCCCCCTCCTCCTCCTCGTCCTTCGCCTCCTCCCCCTCCTCCTCCTCCTCCTCCTCCTCCTCCTCCTTTTCCGCCGCGTCGTCCTCCTCCTCCGATCCAGAGACGAGGCTCACTGTGGTGTTGTGGTTCGATTCTGTCTTGAATTGTAGCTCACTGCTGTCTGGTTTTGGCTCGATTTCAGCCCTCCCAGATCCAGAATTCATGCTCAACATTGTGTTCTGGCTCGACTTGAGTCGCTGTATTGCGTTCTGGCTCTATTTCTTCTCGCCAGTTCCTCTGACCAGAATCTCCACAGGGCGGGCCGAGCGTTCTGCTTCGACTTCAGCCCTCGCAGGTCCAGTAGTGTGACTCATTTTGTTGTTTTGGCTCGATCTGGTTTACACAAATGAGGCTCATTCTGGTTTTCTGGCTCGATTTTCAGCCCTCCCACATCCATAGATCAGATTTGGTCCAGACATGCGACTCACTAGGGTGTTTTGGCTCGGTTTCAGTCTGAAGATTCGTTTCACCAGAATCTCCATCTTGGGGTGCCCCTGGGCCGCTGAGGGGCCACATTTGGGAGCATCTGGACCTGCCTGGGTGCGATCGGGAGGCCGAGAAGGCGAGAACACCAACATCCTTCACGCACTTTCGAAGCTTGCATGATTTTCGCCTCCTGGGAGTGCTCGCGGATGCCTTTGGGAGTGTCCTCGTGGCTTCGTAGGCTGTCTCGGGGGCGAGTTGGACCCTGTTTGGAAACTCTGAAGGCTTTCTCGTCGTCTTGGAGCTGCCGGGGGCCATCTCGAGGCAGCAGGATGAGCCTAGGGAGAGCCAGACCCCCCCGAGGGAGGGCGGGACCCCCACGGGTGAGTTCGGCCGGGGGTCGTCCGAGGCCAGGGGGGGGTCGGTCAAAGTCCTGGTCTGGATTCCCTTTTGGGGGAGGATCATGGAGGGGGAAGAATTTCGCACGCCAAGGGATCCATAAAGGCTCGGCGAATCTCCCAGGGGAACCACGAGCGGGACTGGCCTAACACTGGGTCCGCAGGAGAAACGGACAGCGGGGGGGAGTGCGGTCTGCCCGTGGAATCGCGCTTTCGCATGCCGACCCCATCTCAGAATCAGAAGCTTGGGTGGTACTCTTTTGACACGGGAGCGATGCACATTGTCATGCTGGACACTGAGTTACCGTGTTGGAAAGGCTCAGATCAGCTAGAGTGGTTGGCAACGGATCTGAAGTCAGTGGACCGCTCACGCACGCCATGGCTTGTCGTGACTGGGCATCGCCCGATGTACAGCGTAGATGGAGGCCACCCTCTGGATTCTCAACAAAGCGTGGGCCCCGATCTTTCGGATTCATTCTGCCTTGGAGCAAGCAGCTCAGATCTGGAGACACTGTTTTTAACGCACGAGGTCGATTTGTGCCTGTGGGGGCACGTCCACAATGCGTTGGCAACCTGTCCCGTCTACAATGGATCCTGTGCCATGCAGCCCACTTTATCCAGGACTCGCCCAGGCTACACGTACTCGGCACCTGTCCATGCGGTGGTGGGGAACGGCGGTCAAACTCTGACTGCCACTGCGAAGCGTCCGGCACCGTGGGTGGCATGGCAGGCCAGCACGTGGGGGTGGAGCGCGCTGACGGCAGAAGGCTCGCGGGAACTGCGGTTGACATTCTACACCGAAGACAACGCTACCCTTCATCACATCTCCCTGGGGACGTCGGCTGCCAGTGACGATTTCTCTGCTGACGACCCCTCTTCTATGGTAATCTGAGGGGGATCTGAAGCATGAACATCACAGACTGAGCCGTCGCCGCTTCTCCTAGGTCACCCACAGGTGCTCGAAGGGAATCGCGCTTCGCGCGTGCCATCTGTGCCAGGGCCCTCCTCCAGGGCGAGCGCCGCGAGAGGGCGCAGGGGCGCGAGGACAGCCCGGCACTGCTCCGAGGCTCCCGGAGGACCAAGAAATCACGACAATGATGCGTTCCAAGATCTCAGGTATTGCCCGAATTTGTGCGAGATTTTCCGCTGCTCCGCACGGGCGACTTCTAGCGTTCCCCGAACGCATCCTGAGCCGATGGAATCGTGCCGTCGCTCCGATCCGGCTTGCATCACCAACCGCGTTCCATTTTTCGCAGAGTGCCTACTCGCAAACGTCCGACAAAACTTGCCTTCCTCGATGAAATGTATCGTGGATCCCCTACGGCGGATCCAGGCCATTTGCGAGCAGTCACTTTGCGAGGTAGTGGAACGCGCTCGTCCATTGCAGCGGCGAGCACGCGGCCTGGCCTTCCGCGGGGCTCGAGGAGCCCTTCGCACCTGGAGAGCCGGAGAGGCTGGGAGGGAGGATGCGGGAGGGGGAGGAGGAGAGCTGGGGAGGGGGAGGAGGGAGGCGCGAGGAGGCCGAATAAGGGGGTGGAGGAGGGGGGAGGGAGGAAGGGAGGGAGGGAGGGAGGAGGAGGAGGAGGAGGAGGGAGGATGGATGGATGGATGGTGTGCTCCCTTTGAGCTGGCGGCGGAAGCTTCGGACGAGACTTCCTTTTAGCAAGGGGCCACGACCCGGGGAGGGTTCGGAAGCGACCTTGCTGCGACGGCTCTGGAAGACAGATCGCCAGCTCTGAAGGGGTCGAGGGGAGGGTTGGTAAGAGCTGTGCACTTTCCAAGACCTGCGCGGAGTCAAGAGGGCGGCGCACAGAACCGACCCTGGAAAACCGTGCAAGCCTTTGAAAATTCCCACAGTTCCAACAAGGACCTCCGCCCGAAACCCCGGCCAGGGCGAAGCAGAAGAGGCAACTCAGAGACTCCCCGCCATATGTGGGGGGGGGGCCAGGCAGGGAGCACCTGCCTGGGGCTCGTCCGATCCCCCCACGCTGCCTGGTCGACGTACCCCGCAGGTACGGGACGGTGACAGGAGGAGGGAGAGGAAGCCACCCCAGGGAGGGGAGGATCCAGCCCGACCCGACCCGCCTGCCAGGAGACTGGGGGGCGAAAGATGCCGAAGCCGAAGCTTCCAACACCAGACCAGAATTTCCAGGCGAATCCTGCCGTGACCACGACGAGACCCCAAAAACGAGCAGCGGACCAGGAAACAACCCCCTCAGTGCCCCGGGCAGAGGGGCGGGAGGGAGGAAGGAAGGGAGGGAGGGAGGGAGGGAGGGAGGGAGGAGGGGGGGGAAGCCACCCTGGGGCGCGCGGGGCGCTCAGCCTGCCGTGTGCGCACGCGCCCGTGCTTCTCGTCGGGCGGCGGCCGGGGGGCTCTCCTCTCCGTGAGTTGGGTGGCCCCCCCCCCATCGCCCTCCGCAGCGTCGGATCGGACGAAGAAAAGGGTCCTCCTCCTCCTCCGCCTCCTCCTCCTCCTCCACCATCTCCGCCATTCCCTCCTCCTCAATCTCCTCCTTCTCCTCCTCCTCCTCCGCCTCCTCCTCCTCAACCATCTCCGCCATCTCCTCCTCCTCCTCAATCTCCTCCTCCTCCTCCTCCTCTCCTCCTCCCTCCCCTCCTCCTTCCCCTTTTCCCCTCCTCCTCCTCCTTCCTCCTCCTCCTCCTTCTTTTCCCACCTTCTCCTCCTCCTCCTCTCTTCCTCCTTCTCCTCCTCCTCCCTCCTCCTCCTCCTCCTCCTCCTCCCCCTCCTCCCCCTCCTTCCCTCCTCCTCCTTTTCCACCTCCTCCTCCTCCTCCTCCGCCATCTCCGCCATCTCCTCCACCTCCTCCTCAATCTCCTCCTCCTCCTCCTCCTCCTCCTCCTCCTCCTCATCTCCTCTCCTCCTCCTCCTCCTCCTGTTCCCTCTTCTTCTCCTTCTCCTCCTCCTCCTCCTTCTCCTCCTCCTCCTCCTCCTGCTCCTCCTCCTCCCCCTCCTCCTCCTCCTCCTCCTCTTCCTCCTCCTCCTCCTCCTCCACCATCTCCTCCAACTCCACCTCCACCTCCTCCTCCTCCTCCTCCTCCTCCCTCCTCTCCTCCTCCTCCTCCTCCTCCCCTCCTCCTCCTCCTCCTCCTCCTGCTCCTCCTCCTCCACCTCCACCACCTCCTCCTCCGACTGCTCTCCTCCTCCCCTCTCTCCCCCTGCTCCTGCTCCTCCTCCTCCTCCTCCTCCTCCTCCTTCCTCCTCCTCCTCCTCCTACATCTCCTCCTCAATCTCCTCCTCCTCCTCCTCCTCCTCCTCCTCCTCCTCCTCCTCCTCGTGATGATCCCCCTCCAGCCCTCTCTCCCCGTCCCAGGGGGTAGAGGTTGGGAAAGAGGGGGTTGCGCTGCATGCAGCTGGTTTCGGCCCCGCCGCCAGGCGCGTGTCCTCGATGCGTGGGCGCCTCCCGGCGCCAGAGGCGCCGGACGCCTCGGCTACGCAAGCTGGTTCGCTAACACCCCCGTCACGAACGCCGCCGTGCGTCCGCTTCGAGCCCGTCGGAGGGCTCCGCCCGCTGGGGGGGGATCGATGGTTGCAGGAGGGGGGCCCCCCTGGGCCCCAGCGGTGCGCGAGAGGTGCACATTTCTTCAACCCCGCGCGTATTGCACCCCAGTGGGCAGCGCTCGACTGGGTCTGAATCGGGCACGTCCCTCCACAGGAGACATGCTCGAAAGCAGGAGAACAATTGATCTGGGGACGATCTTTGGAGTGTGCTTGGCTATTTTTGAGTTTTTTCTGACTCGTCTGCTCTTCCTCGAAAGTCCGCAGGTTGGAGGGCATGCCCGACCCAAGACGGAGTGGCCGGGCGGCCCTCGCCCCCCCCCCGCCCCTGGAGTGCCCTGGCGGCCGGACTCGGCCTGTCCCGGGTCGGCGGTGTCGACTACCCTTAAGGCGGGCGTGTCCCTCGACAGGAGGAATATCCAAAAATAGTCAACAAAGTAGACTGGGGGCGATTTGCTTTTAACATTTCTTTGGCTAATATTCTTTTGTTTTTGTTTGTTTTTCGTCCAAGATCCGCCTGTAGGGGGACATGCCCGACCTAAGACTACCCACCGTTTGTTGAAAGCGTATCTTCTCGAACTCCCAAGTTCCGAGCTTTTTTCTGTGCGCCTTCCCACTTCAAGGGGCGAGTGGGTTTCCTTCGTCAATCCTCCTAGCGAGGGGTCGGGCGGATTCCCAGCTAACCTTCCGTGCCCTCCTCCTTCATGCGTTCACCCACCGATCCTCTGCGAGCGATGGGCAGCGGTGTGCGGATGTCATGGCCAGGGTCATGAAGCCTGGCCCCCCCTCCCTGTTTGACTGGGCCCCCCTGCACTCCCCCTTCGTTCGCGCTGAAAACACTCAGGAGGGAAAGAAACACGCAGACACAATCAATCGTCGATTCCCCAGGAAATTACAGGAAAATACGGGACGTGGGGGGGAAGACAAACATGGGAAACTACGTGGAATATGTTTTTTCGTTTTTTTTGTTGCTGGCCGCCTGAGGCCCCGCCCGCCTGCGCCCTGTGTCCCCAATCAGGGCTACCCGCGTCCCCTTTAGCTCTTGACCGGAAGGGGCCCGCTCCCGAACCGCAGACCAAAAAGTGTATGTTTTTTGTATGCCCCAGGGCCCCTTCAAACATGCCCTGGGCCATGGTGCGCCGATCCCCCCCGCCCTCGAGCCCTCTCCTCCCTGAGAGCCGCCGTCGCGAGAGAGCATGGCGACGTGGCGAGAAGCCGCGACCGCAGCCCTACACCCCGTCTTCCTTTGTCGGGGGTGGACAGACCTCCTACCCTGACACGTTTTTGGTCGGCGGGTTGGGAGCGGGCCCCTTCCGGTTAAGAGCTAGGCGGGGCGCGCGAAGCCCTAGTTGGGGAGACAGGGCGCGGGCGGGCGGGGCCTCAGGCGGCCGGAGGGTGCAGAGTACAGGCGGTGCCGAAGATCTTGCACAGGACAAGGTACGCCATGGGCAGGAGCCGGGGGCGAAGTCCTGCAGGGAGAGAGGCTTAGTGTTGCCGTCATCGGCGTGCCAAGAACACCATCCTCGAGTGCTGCGTGAGGAGGACCTCCTACCCTGACGCGTCGATTAAGGAATTGGCCGTTTTCGGTTCGCGAGAGGGCGTCGCGGCCTTCATTTTTGCGGGTCCAGGTCCGTCGGTTTCGGTCCCAGGTTGTTTTCACTAAGGGGAAATTTGCTAAAGGGAGGTTTGGCCACCGCCGATCCTCCTCTGCGCCATCTCTCGAAGCGAGCCGAGCTCTGACGGTCCCAACTGGCCTGAAGCCTGGCGCAGAAGCGCCTGGCTCTGCAAGCGCGAAACGCCAGGATCTCAGTGGTCGGCGCACTTCGGACGGGGCTGCAGGACGAGGACAAATCCGTTCCAGAGCGTTCTGGAACGCTCTGAGGAGGCCGCGGCGCCCGGGACATTCTCCAGACCCGCCGGATCTAAGATATTTTCTGGGAGGAGGAGGAGGAGGAGGAGGAGGAGGAGGAGGAGGAGGGAGGAGGAGGAGGAGGAGGAGGAGGGAGGAGGAGGGAGGAGGGAGGAGGAGGAGGAGGGGGGAGGGAGGAGGAGGAGGGAGGAGGAGGGGTGGGGAGGAGGAGGAGGAGGAGGAGGAGGAGGAGGAGGAGGGGGAGGAGGAGGAGGGATCCTTGCACGATTTCGCCCTCGTCCTGGCCTCGTTTTCCAGCACTCGAGGGGCTGGGCGGCCCTGCCCCAGGAGTGCCTGGCGGGGCCCTCGGCCTGCCTCCGACGGCCAGCGGGTCCCCGCCGCTGGGCCGCAGGGCCCCGCCGCCCGCGAGGGCGCCGAGGCGTCCAACGCATCGACAAAAACCGAGGACGGGAGTCTTCCACGGTCTCCCGGGAGCCCCCCAGGAGTCGTGAGGAAAGTCCTAGACGTCCAACGCATCGAAGACACCAACGTATCGAAGAGACCACAGACGGGAGTCTTCCACGGGATTTTCGACGAAGCATACAACATACTCCAAACCTATTCCAAAATCGTCAAACATGTTTAAACATAATCGACAAAATCCAAGGACGGGAGTCTTCCGCGGCCTCCTGAGATTAAGTCGGGCCTGTCCCCCTACAGGGGGATTTTCGACGAAACATAAAACATGCTCCAAAGATGCCCCAACATGGCCAAAAAATGCTCAAGCAATCGTCCGCAGACTTTCTTCTTCTTATTCTTCTTCTTCTTCTTCTTATAATGATTATTAGTATTAGTAGAAATTCTACACAACACAAATAAAACAAACGGTTTTCTTTCTAGTTTTCGTAGAAAATCCCCCTGTAGGGGGGCAGGCCCGACTTAATCCTGAGAGCCCCCCAGGAGTTGTGAGGAACATCCTGGAGGCCCCGCGCGGCGCGTAATCAACAGCAGTATGATCTAGTCCACCTGCCAGTTCCGTAAGCTATGGGTCGACGCTCGCGCGGCGATGTTCCGGAGTCAGTCCGACGTAAATCCGACGTGCAACGTAGTCCGACGAACCCGACGTAGATCGGACGTGGATCCGACGCAAATCGGGTCGCCAGCTGCCGCGCGAGGCCTCCAAGATTTTCTTCATCACAGGAGGTGTCGGCTGCGCACTGCGACGTCCCATTGTCCGATGTCTGGGCGCCTCTCAGGGCCCTCTGGGGGCCAGGGTTATGTCGGGCGTGTCCCCCTACAGGGGGATTTTCAATGAAAAAAAACATACCCCAAAAATACCCCAAGAAGGTCAAAAAATACCCCCCAAATATTCCCCAGACTATTTTTGGAATATGTTTGGATTATTTTTGGGGTATTTCTCATTTTTCGTCGAAAATCCCCCTGTAGGGGGACAGGCCCGATTTAAGGCCAGGGTCGCCTGCGTAGCCTCCGGCCTGGCGCGCGCCAGCGCGGGGGCGCGGGAGCGCGCCGCGCGTGCGAGCGAGGGCTCGCGTCCGCGCGTGCGCGCTCCTCCACGACGGCTTGACGACTCTCCGCAGGAGGGGAAAAAACACACAGGCACAATCAATCGTCGATTCCCCAGAAGAGATGGGAAAACATGGGAAGTGGGGGGGGGGAAGACAAAAAAAAACCAAAATATGCCAAAATAGGGGGAATCTGTGTATTTGTGTGTATTGATTTGTGTGTCCTGGGGCCCCTTCATTTCCGCCACTCGGCTTGCGGGGTCACGCCGGGCAGGTCGGGGCAGATGCAGCCGAAGCGAGGCAGACCTTGGCAAATCCAGAGATTTGCAGGGCAGGCTGGAGCAAGTCGTTGCCGTCCCGGCGCGAGTCCAGGGACGGCACACGTCGCTGAGCTCTTAACGAGATCGAGGCCGGCACGGAGGTGGCTGGCCTCAGTCAGTAGGTCGGCTTCCCGTCGAGGTCGAGGGCCCGTGCTGCGAGCTGCAGAAACGACCGCCTCCCCTGAGACCTGGGCGCTGCAACTCTCTCGCGCTGGGCGTGCTCGGATCATCTGAGGCCTTCAGGGCCCTCTCACAGATCGATCCAGCTCGAGAAGTGGCGCAGAAAGATTGGGTCTATGGCTTTGGTCGTGTTTTTTCTGTGACCTCGGACCTCAGGGCCGCTCGCGTTCGCACGGGGTCCGCGGGGCCCGTCGCGCTCCGTCGGCGCTCCGGCGGAGGCGCGCGGTCGCGCGCCGTTCGTCGGGGACGCACGGGGCGGAGGGCGGCAAGCAGGAGGACAGGGAAGCAGCGCAAGATCGGGGGAGAAAAAGATACGGATACGTGTCGTCCCCCTTCGTTTTCGGCCTTTCCTGGTCCTCCTGGGGAATCCTCGTTGTCACCGCTGGATTCGCCTCGAAATTCTGGTCAGAACGCACCCCAAGAGAGGTCCGGGGACAACACGTATCCGTATCTTTCCGCCCCCCAACAAGAAGCTCGGAGAGGGAGCCAGGGGTGTGGATGATGTGTCTGCGTGCTGCCTCTCCCCCTCTCAGGAGAGATGCTCACGCGACCCGATGGCGGCCACGCTGGCCTGGCTCAGTCAGCAGGCGCTTTCACATTCTGGCTAGTGTTAGGTCGGGCCTGTCCCCCTACAGGGGGATGTTCGACGAAAAATGTAAAATACCCACAAATAATCCAACAATAGTCCAAACATAGTCTGGGGATTTTTTTTTTTTTTTTTTTTTTTTTTTTCTCCTTTTTGGGGTATTATTGGGGTATTTTTTATGTTTCGTCGAAAATCCCCCTGTAGGGGGACACGCCCGTCATCAGGCTAGTGAGCCTAACAGGTGGTTTATCCACCTGGCTCTCTGTCGGCCGTCTATTCGTCCGTCTGTCCCCATTGAAGCCGAAGCTGGAAAAAAACTCGATCAGCCCGAGCAGCCCCTCAACAACAGCAATGTAGGAGACCTGCTGGAGCTTCTTGGAGGCCTCGCAGAGCCATCCTCGGGCTCTCTTGGGGCCTTGTTGGGGACTTCATTATCTGTGGGTGCTCTCTCGGGGCTCCTTGCGAAGCCTCTACGGTCCTTTTGGGGCAATTCTGACGGCCGTCGGCAGAAGAAGGTAGGGGCGGTATCTAAATCAGCGATGTCCCCTTCGAGCCCGAAGACCCCGTTCCATAAACCATCCGGTTGCTCTCTCAGGTTGCTCTTGGAGGCTTTTGGGGGCTGTCTCGTGTCCTTCTGGGCCTCTCCAGGGCTATCCTGGGGCCATATCTGAGGCCTCATATGTCCATTGGAAGTAAAAAGACGAGGAGGTGCATGCAATCTGTAAGGTTGTAGCATCTCGTGGGCACCCACTGTAATTGAGATCTTTGCATCTCGTGGGCACCCTTCGGAGGCTCCGTGGTCACCTCGGGCGATCTTGGCGCCGTCGGGCCATCTTGAGGCCATCTTGGGGCCTGTCAGAGCCATTATTGGAGTATCTCAGGCCGGCTTAGGGCCATCTTGCGCCAGCTCTTGGGCAATTTGGTACCGTTTTGGCTGGGGGTCCCCACATGGCTGAAAACGAAGCAGGAGCAGCGGCTTGCGCGCCCAGGTTTGGTCCCTCCCTGGCCCCCAGAAAGCTGCGCACCAAGGTCACTCTTACCCAGGGTCACTCTTGCGTGTAGCCGAATGCAGGTGTTCATCGCAATGTCAGGCTCCAGGTCGCTGGCGCGCGCCCCTGCGGCCGCGCGCATGTGCGGTGCAGGGGAGCCGCTCGGCAGACGGGGCGAGCCGGCCGGATCGCGCTTCCTCCTCTCCCGTGGGCGCGCTGCTGCTGCGGTGTTCGAGCTGAACCGCGGGGAGAAGGCGACGATCGGACGGGCCTTTCACAGTGACGTCGTCATAAAGTCGAAACAGATATCTGGCCATCACGTCGAGCTGTTCTTTCCTCTGGAGGCCTCTCAGCCGTCGCTGCTGCTGGCGCGCGACGTGTCTACGAACGGTACGGGATTCCGACTTGCTCATGACGCGGAGTTCGTGGCGTTAGACAGGGGTCGAGCGCAGCTGCTGCCTCACGGGGCTGAGCTGCTGTTGCCGCTGCGGGTGCCAGGAGCCGCGAAGGCAGAGGCGGATGCTGCGCAGGTGCGGCTGACTGTGCGCTATCTTCACGCCGTCGAGGGGCCGTGCATGGCTCCGCCGCCTGACCGACGGTTGCCAGATGCCTGGATGGGCCCAGGCAGTGCCGGGCGATGGCGGTACAGCGAGTGCCTCGGCGAGGGTGGCCTAGGCTTCGTGTACCTGGTCTACGACATGGTCGGTGATCTAGGCGCAGTGGCCCTCAAGGTGTCCAAGTGGGGCCACAAATCGCACGGCCTGGGCGCACCGCGCGAGTCCTGGGAGGTGTACACCATGCACCGCGAGGCGCAGTGGTCTCAGCAGTGCCTTCACAACCAGGACGACCCGCGGTACGACGCGAAGCTTGCCTCCCTGTTCGTGAGGTACCTCGAGGACCACACGGGCTTCCCGCCGCCTGCTGACCCCGCGGAGTTCCACGCGGTCCGGGCTGCGTACGAGCAGCCGGGCCTCGACTGGAGGCAGGTGCAGTTCGATCCGCCGCTCCCCCAGGACCCCTACGTCGTGATGGAGCTGGCGCTCGGCGAGGTCCTGTCCAGCGCGAAGCCGGAGGAGACGTTCAGCGCCGAGGAGCGGTGCGCGGTGACTCACCAGGCCGCGGAGGCACTCGTCTACCTGGGGCGCTTCGGCCTGCTGCACCGCGACTTCCGCACCGCGAACATCCACGTGGCACGCCGCGGGGGCCGCTGCCGCATCAAGGTGCTCGATCTCGGGCTGCTCATCCGGGCAGACCCCGGGGCGGCCACCAGCACGAACGTCGCCGTGAAGGCGCTCTGGGATCGGCGGCAGCGCGAGTACGACTGGGTGCCTCCCGAG